GAAGATAACATTCCACTGTCTTTTTGCTTCTGGTGTTGCTATTAGAGGAAGTCTATTTTGATCAGATTTTGTTGCTGATTGTAAGCTATTCTGATCTCTGATCCTTTGTACATAACTTATTTTATTCCCGACCCCCCCACCTCAGGAAACCTATAAATGCTCTCTTTGTCCCCATTGTACCAAAATTTCACTATAATGGGTACTGCTGTGGAGAATATATGTATATATAGATAGAGATAAAGCTAGAGATAGATATACATTAATCATAACTTCACTAACCAGTTCCTTTAAGAAATTGAATGATTATTCTTCTATAACTCCTTTGTCACCCAAACTCTGCTTTATAGAGCAAGATTATAAATGAGATTCCATTTTTTAAAAAATACTAATTAATTATTTATTTGGCTTCATCGGGTCTTAGTTGCAGTAGGCAGGATCTTTAGTTGCAGCACACAAACTCTTAGTTGTGGCATGTGGGATCTAGTTCCCTGACCAGGGATCGAACCCGGACCCCCTGCATCAGGATCACAGAGTCTTAGCCACTGGACCACCAGGGAAGTCCCAAGATTCCATTTTAAAACAAATGTATGTATTTGGGGGGAGGGGAATGTGGACAGGTACCCAATTTTCATTAAACTGATCCCTACATCTCACACATCTGAGAAGTTGTATGCACAAAGAGAATTGACATTCAGAACTTGAAGGTATGCCAGATTTTCTTTTTTGAAAAAGTTCAATATCATTCACTAACTTATGTTTCCTAAGGCCAGAAATTGTTCAGATATATTTGGCCAGATTTTCTTCAAGGCTTTTTCTGCTTCTCACTAGGAATCACAGTTCAGACATGTCAGGGAAGGATGAGTTCCAGCCCTTGGAAGGAGATTACTCAGTTGAGTAAGGGTCGAAGAGTCCTCTTAGCTGACGTGTGCATGACACAGAAGGCTAAGTGTTATCAGTGAATCTGAGCAAGAGTGGCAGATAAAACCTGTCTCCATTCACACCCTCATACTCTGTAAAAGATTTTTTTTGGAATATGAGGGTTGTGATGATTTAATGCTCCAGAGTGGGAAGGTATTAAAATGGCCTTCTTTCTGTCTTGCCAGAGGCTCCGCTTGAGGAATCCCCCCATTCTAGAAAAAGTGCTCTACAGCCCATGTAGGAGGATGGGCTGAGAAGTGGAGGCACTGAGAAACCGATTCTTCACAGATGAGTCTATTCTCACCTTCAAAATACTTAAGAGGAGGCACGTTCATTAAGAGGTTGAGGAGACCCTTGGTGAGCACTTCCTTAGAGAAAAATTTTAGAGTAGTCAAGTGACCATAACTTTTATCCACTTCTTTCTACCCAACTGGCACTGAAGGGGACAGTCTGTGGCCAGTTCTCCAACAGCAGGCCACATCCAGGATTTGGTAGGGCAAGGATGCATACATATTTCCAGAGGGCCGGATGCAAGACTCTGAGTAGAAGAGCCAAGCTGTGTCATCTTAGCACTGCCTGTAGGGTCTAAGGGCCCCTAACCAGGATCTGAGAGGTAGACCCAAGGAGCCAGCTGACAGAGGCATTGCCCCTGTCGAGGGAATTGTGGGAGAAATATCTCCAGTGACCTCAGTCCTCTAGAGATCCCACAAATCACCCCAGGAGAGAAAAACACAGCATTGAAAATCTGCTATAATCAGAGGGCACCAACATCAGATGACAACTTTATCAATCAAGGAAGATTTTTCCTCAAAATCTCAGAGGGGGGCCCAGAGCAGCATCTAAAGGTAGTGGTCAAGGAAACAGGAGAAGCTAAGTTTGTTGTTTCCTCAACCCCCATCCCCAGAAGTTCTCCAGGCTACAGCAGGCTCTGTTTTGGAGGGTTGACAGATGAGTTTTCCAAGAGTTTTAACATTTCATTATTACAATGTTCTGGACTTTATATTACTTGAAAGTGAGCAGAAAGGCTTTGAGAACTGATAAAATGTCAACGAAGGGCAGTGAAGAATAAGTGGAAAGAATATATCTGAAATGAGTACTGCCAGAGACAGTAAAGTTACTTTTTGCTTGCACTATACTGAGTCCAGCTCACTCAGTAAATCGGTTACATTTGCAGACACTGTACTTCTCCTACTTTGAGAGAGTGAGATGCAGGCATAATTGGCATAAGCTTTTTATTGTACTAAAATACACACCACATAAAATTTACCATTTCAACCATTTTAAGTGTACAATTCAGTGGCATTAAGTAATTCACAATTTTGTGCAACCATCACCACTATCCATTTCCAGAAGTTTTGCATCATCCCAAACTGAAGGTCTGTACCCATTAACCACTAACTCCCCATTCCTCCCTCCCCTCAGCCTCTGGTGACTACTATTCTACTCTCTGTCACTGAATTTGCCTATTCTAGGTACCCCGTATAAGAGGAATCTGTAATATTTGTCATTTTGTGTCTAGCTTATTTCACTTAGCATAATGTTTTCAAGGTTCATCTATGATGTAGCATGTATTAGAATTTCATTTATTTCTATGACTGAATAATATTCCATTGTATGTACATAACACATTTTGTTTATCCATTTATCTGTTGATGGACATTTGGTCTAGTTCCACCTTTTGGTTATTGTGAATACTACTGCTATGAACACTGGTGTACAAATACATGTTCCTGTCCCTGTTTTCAATTCTTTTGCCAAACGTCTAGGAGCAGAATTGCTGGATCATATGAAAAATCTGTGTTTAACATTTTGAGGAACGCCAAGCTGTTTCCACAGTGGCTGCACCATTTTACATTCTCACCAGCGGCACAGCAGTGTTCTAACTTCTCCACATCCTTGTCAACACTTTTTAGTTTCTTTGTTGTTGTTGTTTTTATTTTTTGATAATAGTCATCCTAGTGGGTGTGTGGTTTTGATTTGTATTTCCCTAATAACTAAAGATCAGCTGTTCAAGTGCTTATCAGCCATTTGTATGTGTATCTTTGTAGAAATATCTATTCAAGTCCTTTGACGATTTTTGAATTAGGGATGTTTGGCTTTTTGTTGTTGTGTTGTATGAGTTATGTGTTCTGGATATTAATCCCTTAACAGATATATTATTTGAAAATATTTTCTCCTATTTTGTGTGTTGTCTTTTTACTCTCTTGATAGTGTACAAACGTTTTTCATTTTGATGAACAAAAGTACAATTTATTTTTTCTTTTGCTGCCTATGCCTTTGGTGTCATATCCAAGAAATCATTGCTGAACCTAATGTCATGAAGATGTTTTGTTTCTTCTAAGAATTCTATAGTTATAGCATTTAAGTTTAGCTCTTTGAGTCAATTTATGTATCTGGTATAAGGTAAGGTTCTAACTTCATTTTTTGCATGTGGATATCCAGTTTTCCCAGCACCATTTATTGAAATGTCCTTTCCCCACTGAGTAGTCTTGGCATCCTTGTTGAAATCTCTATTCATTACATAGTCTGTCCTTATGCCAGTACTGCACTTGCTTTTTAAGTTGTAGTATTTTTGGCATTATCCTACGATTACATAATTCTGAAAATGAATAGAAACATATATCATTACTGACAAAGTGAATAATATTTGTAGTATCATTACCCGTTTCTGTCGAGTATAATAAATAACCTTAACAGTTCATTGTATTATAAAAATAAATCTATCAAAATTCTTAAACATTTGCCAGAAGCCTCTTATTCCCTTTTTTCTCCTTCACTGATATTATTCCTCTTGCTTAGGCATTGCCCTGGACTTTACTCTAAAGCCAAAGTCCTTTTACTAAAATAGTCAAGAACCTGTATTATCTGGCCAATCACTGCTCACCTACTTCTCTGCCCTTATTTCATAATTCTCATTCCACTCCAGCCACATTGGTTTCTTTGTTTTTCCTCCAATATGCCAAGCACAGTCCCACCCCATTACATCTACCCTGTACCTGCAGTACTCAGTGAGGCTATCTGTAACCACACTGTACAAAATAACAACCTCTCCCCTCCCTCCGAAATACCCTTTCTCTGCTTTACTTTTCTTTATGTCACATTTCACAACACTACATATGTACTTATTTGATAATCATCTGTTCTCCCAACAACACCAGGATGTAAGCTTTGTGAGAGCAGGGACTCAGCACCAATGAATGAATGAATGAATGAATGAATGCTTTAGGAAAGAATATGAGTCCTCCTTCATTCATTCAACTAATATTTATTGAGACCTTACTGTGGACTAGTCAGTAAATGCCATAGACATTAAACAAACAGAACTTGTTAAATGGTTGCATAAATCTAAAATACAAAATTAAATGAGTTTTTTAAAGAAGTGGGTAAGTCAGTCTCACAGACAAATCCAGATTGGAAGCCTTAGTGACAAGTCAAGATTTTAAGGATGGAGCACACTGCCCCTCAGCTATTGCTCAATGCACCCTGACGATCAGATTTTACCCCCCAAGGAACTTGTAATGGAGGTTCACTGAGGCTAGTCATTCTCTACCGATCTTTTGAATGGAGATGGGAGGAGGCACACACCTTCGTGGAGGGCAATTACTTTGCCCTTGCACAGACCCTGTGCTAGCCAGCAGTGCCCAGGAAAGGCTGCAGGTCTGGCTAGGGACTGCATCCCCTCGGGCCCTTTTGGGGCCTGTGCAGAGGCAGCAGCGCAGCCCTGCAAAGACTGATCAGTTCACGGACCTGTGCTTGACTTGCCCTCTGTTTTCACTGTGTAAAAGGCCAGAGGAAATGTGCTGCTTCAAGTATAGCACCACCTCTGCACCTGCTAGATATGGTCTGGAGCTTGAGGGCGCAGCCTGGGGGGTCGCCACAGTGAGGGCCTTTAGCGACAGGGTGTATCCACTGCTACTTCAGGGAGGACAGGAAGGACAATATGGTCAGGCCTGGGGTGTGGCCTGGGTTTGCATTAAGTGTGCGACTCCGTTTGGCAGCGGGTCGTAACAGCTTCCTGGGAAGGGAGAAGCCAAGGACGGTGTAAACCCCTCATGAGCACGTGGTGAGCCAAGAGCCCATAAATGTTCCTGAATGAGTCGGTGGGTGGTGAACGCCAAGAGGGCTTCCAGCTGGGTGGGGGGAAGCTGCGGAGTGAGGAATCACGGTGGTTGAGGTGCCTCCCGTCTCTCACTGACTGGGCGGGTGGGGCCGGGGTACCGGAAGGGGGCGAGGGAAGAGGAACCTGGAGAGCAGGGACTCCGCTGACTGCGAGAAGGGGCGGGGCTACAAGGCGCGTCGCGGCGGGACTACAATGGCGGGAAGGGGCGGGGTTACGAGGCGCGCCGGGGGCGGGGAAGGGGCCCCGAGCGGCATCTAGCTGCCCGCGCATTGGCCGGAGTGGGTGACGGATACCTCAGAGCGCCCTGCGCCCCACCCAGAACCTAGCGCGCCGGCGCCCGGCTTGCACGCGGCAAGGCACTGCGGCGGCGGCTGAGCTGGCTGGGAGGGCGGCGAGGGGCTGTGGCCTGGGCAGCCGAGGCTTACGTAGCCTGTCAGCCAGGGCGCCTACGAGCTCCTGGTGCTTCTGCTCGGCTCCGTGGGACTGCTGGGCGTCGGCAGCAGCCTGCTGGTGCTCGTCCTCTACCTCAAGTTCCCGCGACTCCGCAGCCCCGCCCGCCTCTTCCTGCTTCGCGTCGGCCTCGGCAACCTGCTACCCTCCGTCCTCCGGGCCGCGCTAGCTTTCGCGTTCCGCCCGAGGGGCGGCGTGGTGGGGGGCGCCACGAACTGCGTGTGGGACGGCTTCAGCAACAGCCTGTGGGGTGAGTGGCCGGGGTAGACCTCCCGCTCCTGCGGCCTCCTGCCCCCGGCCCCGCCCCCTCCCGCTCCTGGACCCCAACGTCGCGGCGGTGCTCCCCTGACTTCACCTCCCCCTACCTCTATTTTTCTGATCTCACCTCCTCCCTTGTGACCTCGCCTTCCCCCTGATCTCACCCGCTTCCCCCCACCTCTGCATCTTCCCCGCCGACCTCTTCTCCAGCACTCCCTGATCTCCCTCCCTCCCTGTGCTCACCAGGCCTCACGCCAACCCAAACCCCAGCCTGTCTGCAGCCCCATGTCCCCTGTGCCCACCTCCTCCATACCCCTTTCTGGCCGCTGTGCAGCTCATCTCGCTTCTCTGCTTTCATCTCCTAATTTAATTCAACAGGGCACGAGACAATGGCTTTTACACTTTGAGGAAAGAAATGAGGGGCTGTGGAGTTAAGAGATTCAAGGAAGAAAGTGTTTGATTTGTGAAAATTGGAGAGGGTGATGAGGAAAGATCTAATTCCTATATTACTTCTCTAAAGTGAGAGGTGGAAACCTAACGTAGTAGTAATGTGTAAATTCTTTGAAAAATTTGCCCATTAGCAGTTGTAAACCTTTGACTGCTTCCTAGGAAGTGAGATCGTTTTATTCAGGTCCTCAGAATGCAAATTGGCATGTGCCCTATTAGCTATTTTTACTATAATTTCCTCCTTATAGTTTCCAGCACACCAAAATCTAAGGTGAGTTTGCAGATGGCCCAGAGAATCCCAACTCAGATGAACAAATAATTTAGCTGTGCAGCCAGTAGATTTCATTAAAGTAGAACTTGATTGTGAATACAATACTCTTAACCCATATGGAAGATTTAAGTCTCACTGAGACTTGACATTTTGAAGGATGAACCACCCAGTGTGTCATTGAAGATGTGATTTTTCTAAGATTAGGAAAGTATCCTTTTGTGTGTGCTCCAGAATTCATTTGTACAAAGATTTGAAATAGAAATGTATATTTCTCAGGTCTTAAATTTCCTTTTAAAAAAAAAGAATCCTGAAATCCATTGATAATTTATTACTGCCTTTATCTTGGCAGGTTTATGAGAATAAAATCTTTGTAGTGTTATCAAAAGTATTTTCTTATTCACCAACCTTCTATGTGGTGACAAATCTAAATATTATATTTGTTATGATTCTTTTTTTATATTTTGAGGGAAACAAGAAAATGCAATAGAGATCATAATTTTATTTATTTGGTTGTCTCAATGATTCTAATGTTCTAATATTACCTACCCCTTCCCCAATAACCCCTTATCTGAGAACTTCATTTATACAAAGATTTGAAACTTGGGAGGGGTTTGTAGGTGTGTGAAGGTGGTGATATAGATCACACTATAGATTACACTCTTTGTATTATTTTAAAATACTAACAGGCAATGTTTCAGGCAGGGCTAAGCTTTAAAGAGGGCAATTCAAGCCAAGCCCTAAAGTGTCATCAGTAGCAGAAATTGGGTCACAGACATTAAAGTTCTTATCTTTAAAAAGTGTTTTTTCTGTGCTGGGAAATTCAGCTTCTATCCTGACTCGGTGCCTGGGAATTTGAAAACAGGGGTATATTGAGTTTTTTTATTAGTACCAGCATTCCCCTTCTTCCTCATCCCTTCTATCTTGTGGCCCCACCCTGCTGTGTCTCCTTGTCTCTTCCATCCTTTTTCCTCCCTCATCATCCCTGCTTAGGTCTCACCCCAATCAGAAGGGATTTTCTAAGACTGCTAGAAATGTTCACCACACAGTATTTTGCCTGACTACTGCTCTTTCTCTGGGCATTTCTTTAGTGCTTTCAACAATGACTTTAACCTGTTTTTAAGTTAGAGGTGGAAACTCTGGGGCAAGAGGTTCTGAGTCTTGTTTAAGCCCTGGGAGACAAGTCAATAGTGGGTTATGGTGGAGCTGAAAAAATTCTTAGGAAAGATTAAGAATTTCTTTGCCTGGGGTAAATTCAAAAGACTGTGCTTCTAGGTAAGAGTTAAAGATGAAAAGAGGGAGGATGCTTCCCTCATTGTTATCCCTGAGGAAGAACTAACCAACCATGGAGTATACTGAAGGGGCAGAACATTTTAAAATACCAAAAGTGGCTGCTTGCTCCAGAGGCTTCTGGAGAGGCTGCCTCATCAAGTGGAAAGACCACTGGTCTGATGGTGTGAGAGTGGGTCCCACTCTTGATCCTGTGGCTACCCATCATGTGGACTTTCCCAGTCACTTAATTTCTCCAGCCATCAGTTTTCTCATCTTTTTTGCAGGGTAGTTGAGCTAAATGTGTTAAGGTTGTCCTGTCCTGCTTTGTATTACGAGGACTCCTTTGATACCTATAGGTTAGAAGGTGCCTGGTTTTAGCACTTACAGCTTATATCCTCTCCCTTACTCCCAGCCCTCAGCTGTATCCGCTTCTAAACTGAGAATACGTACATACTATGGTTACACTTCTTCACATACCCTCATGGGTTCTGTCTTCCTCTGCACACCCTGCTGGAAGAAAGCAGAATAAGTAACTCAAACATACTCACATACTTATGTGAGTAGGCCTGGCAGCCACTTCATTCTGTGCTCAGTTTCTTGTTTCTGAGGGAATGTTGAAAGCAAGTGAATCCCTGATATTCTTGAGGCAGAGGCTTTGACTAGACAGGACTATTAAGATTGCCATCTCAAACTGAGCAGTCAGTTCAGTGAATTAGTCAATTTAATCTAAGTTCCAATTGAACAGCTTGTTTTACAGATGTCTAGGATAATTAGTCATCTTAGCCTAGGCGGACCCAATATGCACTGATCAGTAAGTATAGTGGTAGGAAAAATTAGAGCTCAAGAAACTCACTCTTACTGTGCAGTGATGAATGACAGAAAGGCCACCTAGCATGTGTGTGTAATGCTTTAGCCTAAAGACTTCCAGGTGAGTATGCCTTTCAACCCTTTGGCTGTTGCACCGCTGGCCATACCTACCACCACACAGGTGTTCTGCACATGGAGTATAATCAGGATGATGCTGGACAGGAGAGACTTTCTTCACTACCACCTCCTACCCCTTCAAAAACAAGAACAACAAAAAACATGTTAACCTTGGCAGAGGGTGTTTGGACAGCCCTTTATCTTGGAAGACAGAGATTCAGGGTCTCAGAGCTAGAGTCTCGCAAAATGCAAGTCACCCTATGTTGACTTGGGTTTTAGAAATAGGTGTTATTTTATGTTAAGATATTTTAACATATGGACCCAGGACTTTTCCTTTTTAACTTACACCTAAAAAACACACCTGTGCGTATGTACATTCATATAAGGATTTCTTATAAAAATATTTTCCCTTCAGTAGACCAATTCTTTCATATACCTAAATATTTTAAAATGCTAGTTGTATTATTGAATTAATCCTTTTTTAATAATCTGAATAGCTAATTCAGTTGAAATAGTCTCATGCTGCTCCCATAAGATTCAAGTGGTAGGTGGGACATGGAAAAATCTTCTATTCATCTGTCCTAGAAGCATGCACAGACTGTATTGCCACAGAAGTATGCATAATCATGACAGTGTGTACATTGTATATAGTCTGTTTCCATAAACACAGTGGAGCCACATGTTACTTGCAATTTAATCTCACAGTTGTATATCATTTATTCAGATATTTAAAAGCAAAAATTATAGAATTGTATTATGTTAATTCTTCTTTATTTTTGTGGGATGTTATTTTATCCATTCTTCATTGTTGAATTACATGATTTGGAGGAGTCTGTATCTTTTGTTCATTTTCAGGAAATTAGAAAAGATGTGAGAAAGCATTTAATGACTTGCTTTAGTAGAGGCTTATGTCCTAAAAATAAGTTGGGTTCCATTGGATTGTAATTGCTGTTGCATGAAATTACTTTTCTCTTAATATTGTTTACAATTGTATTCTTTCTTGAATTTTCTTCTTTCAGAGAAGAGTTCCAGTCACAAATGCACATGTGATACATTTTGACATTCACTGCTAAGATGAAATGCAGAAGTGAACACGACACACTCATTCTAGTATTCTCAGATATGATTAGATGTACTTTATCATGTTTTTATGCTACTGACCTATAAGAAAAAAATACTAAAAAAGGGTAGCAGTTAAACACCTAGGACCTGCAACTTCAGTACGTCTGGGATGATCTGGAATATCACAAGGAGAGAGTTTATTACAGCATATTCACACCTTATCTGAGCCCTCAGCCTATGTTCATACACATTTCCTTCATTAGAAGTTGTCACCAGACACTTTACCTCCCAGGATGGACAACAGGCTCCCAACAGAGTTTGATGTGGTTGTAATAGGGACAGGTTTGCCTGAATCCATTCTTGCAGCTGCATGTTCCAGAAGTGGTCAGAGGGTTCTGCATCTTGATTCAAGAAGTTACTATGGAGGAAACTGGGCTAGTTTCAGCTTTTCAGGATTGCTCTCCTGGTTAAAGGAATATCAGCAAAACAGTGACATTGGGGAAGAAAGTACTGCTGCATGGCAAGACATGATCCATGAAACAGAAGAAGGCATCACTCTTCGCAAGAAGGATGAAACCATTCAACACACAGAAGTTTTTTGTTATGCCAGTCAGGATATGGATGGCAATATTGAAGAGACTGATGATCTGAAGAAAAATCCTTCCTGGGTAGCATCTAGTACCCTCATTAAACCTCTGGATTCTGCATGCTTGTCTGAAGAAATGCACTCGTTATATGTTTCTAGCAATGAAGTGCCTGCAAAAGGGACTCCAGAAAACAATGGAGAAGTAACTGATATAGCAGAAACCTTGGTGAAGGAAGAATATTGTGGATATAAAACTTATAAACACAGAGTTTCAGATGGTGCTAAAGACGAAATCAAACCTATATTGGAAGAGAACAGTGATCCACCAAAGAGAAACAGGATTACTTACTCTCAAATAGTTGAAGAAGGCAGGAGGTTTAATATTGATTTGGTATCAAAGCTGCTTTATTCCCAAGGACTGTTAATTGATCTT